AAGAGAGATGGAAAAAGGATTTGCCCCACGATGCACCAGCAATCGATGGGCACTGTAACAGCACAACCTGTGTGGTACGGTACACACTGAACAAGGCTGGTCCAGACGCCAGGTGTAACGGGAAAAGGCACAACCAGCGGACGAGAGGATACCCCAGAAGGAATAGTGACGAAGAAGGGCAGGTTAGAAGGAGGAGACAGCCCTCCAACTCTCGTAACAAAGTCTACCGAGCGGAAGGGGTGTGGAGAGACGAATGAATGGTGGAGAGAATAAATGGGCAGCGAGCGAGTTCGAAGGGATAGAAAGTGAAAGAAAAGGGAGAAATTCGGTGAAAGACAAAAGTCCTCTACATGATATCGGCTTATCATTCATACCGCGATTCCACAATCCGAAACTCAGCCGCACCGGGCAGAAGCCAGGAGCGACATACCGGTACCTCTCTCCTGCCCACCTTCACTCCAAGCCGAGTCCACCGACACTGTAAGTACTCTACTAGTACTCGTACAAAGCAAACCAAGCTTAACCCAAGTCTCTCATGCACGAAAAACACCAATTGCTTCAACGCTTCAACAATCCTTCTTCCCCCCCACCTCGAAAGAATATTTATCTCTCAACACGGTCTCCTTCCCTCAAACTCAAGCCCAAGCAGAAGCACTACTGTCCACAACGAAAAATACGGACAAAGTGCACTAATTGCATATCCGGACAGGTCTAAATACCGGTATGGTGTCGTGCTCGACTGCTCAGAGTCGAAATTTAGCGATCATTTCCTGTTCTTCACAGGCGAACAAGAAAGAAGTGTGAAAGAGGGAAAAAAAGCTGTCGCCTGTCGGTTGTTTTCTTTTTCCTTTTTTTTCTTTTCTATTTCAGGCATCACACCACATTCGACCGATCAGTTGTCACACCCGAACAAAGCTGGCTGGGTGGGCTTGTCCTGATCCATGCAAAACAAGAAACCAGCCACCAACCGCACACGCGGAAAGCCATCCTCCAAGACAGAGTGGGCGCCAAAAGGCTTGAAAAAGGGCTGGCAGTCCCCGAGCACTGTCTCAAGTATGGTAAGCACGGGAATCGGGAAAGTGCAGCATCCCGTTCACGGGGGAGCAGAGAAGAGAAGAGTGCCGGTATCGGTCTTCGGACACCGAAAATCTGCAACAGGCGCACTCCAAAACATCCTCTGCCCAGTCTCGGGGAAAAAAAAGGAAACACGGAAAGTAGGAAGGTGAGGCAAAACCACGTGTAATTGAGACTCACTAGTCCTGTAATAGTACTCGTACCTGTACCAGGTACTTGTACGGGTACTTGTACTCAGTACCCATACCGGTACTCGAGTATTGGTCCCTGCTTCTCTTTACCCCCCCTCTCTTCATCCTGTTTGTGTTACTGTGTGATACGGTAAGGTGCGGGTAGGGTGCTACCTTCCATATTTGTCCCCTAACCCTCCCTGTTGAATGCATACTCGTACTTGTATTATACCGGTACCGTATCTCGAGTACGGGCACTGTTACAAGTAGCATACTCGAGTGCGAGTAGACTGGCAGGTTAATGGTTCTTCGAACCGGAGCGCGGGCGAACATTGCCCTGTGTTTGTATCATACCGGTACCTGCGGCGACCGGCCAAAAAAAGCCCAGCGCTTATACCACAGCGACGAACGAATGAACAATCAATGCGGTACCGTGCCGGCAAATTGTCTCAGATGAAGGAGAGACGAGTAGGAAATGGAAAAAAAAAACGAGTCCCCGTGTAACCCCTTATGCACCGAGTCGGTGGACAGGGTCAGCATAAACCCGGACCCTTCCGAGATGTTCTTGCACTCGAGTACCGGTACTGGAAAACCATGGGACATCGCAACTCCAAAACACCCCGTCGCACTGACAACACACCTGACATTCTGTAACTTGCGCCCAGGAGTGCTTGCGCGTACAACAAGTCGAGACGCAGTGAACCTAAGCCAAACCCAAACAGACCCATCACGATATCATAAAGAATCATTCCGCCCACCCATCGACCTGGCCTGGCCTCTGATTAAGCGAGGGCTGTGCTTTAGTCTAATGGCGTATCCCCCTCTCCTCGCCCACCTGGTTCCCTCCGCATGATGGGCAAACTCGACACGATGTTCAATATCGGTACGGTGCTCAAGTACCGAACTGTGCACCTACATCGGCGATCAAACGGACCGTGATCAGCGATGCATTAGCCCTGTTCCTGATCCACTCCCTACGCATCAATCCCTCTCATCCCGGGACCTTGCTCACGATACGGACCCGCAACACGACCCAGAATAAAGCTCCGTCCATCCCCACCACATCCTCACTATTGCGAACAGCCCTCAAACGCCGGACACACCGCCTCGCCTCCTGTATTCCCCCGACCACAGCGAGCGCTGCGGCGTCATTTCAGGTCGCAAAATAAAGCAAACTCGCCCAACTTACCCCACCACCCGGCGAGGTCTATACTTGGCTACCCGCATGCGGTGCTTGGGCTGACTGTGAAGTGGGCCCTCTCAGCTCGGATCAAGGTGCCGTGGTGTGCTCGTGCTTGGGCACGGTGCCGGTATTCTGTGCGTGCTCGCGTACTGTACGGTACTCGTAAATTTACCGGGACTCGAGCAGCCTTTGTATGTAAGGGGTGAAAAAGGTTAATTTTGTTGGGCCGGCTGCCGCTTGGGGGTGTGACGGGTGACACGCCGCTTGTGGCCAATGAGACAAAACTGGCAATAAAGTCACCGCATCGCCGGACACAGATAGCCTGGGCATTTGTCGTGAAGAGTATCGCCAACTTGGAAGGACTACCACTCCATCAAAATATGACATGTATCCTTTTTTGAGAGGGAAAACATGCACCGTACTACTTGATGCGCTCCACCAGTTATTGTTCTTAACCCTGTGAAAGCATAACTCACTATGGAGTTTTAAGGGTTTGAGATTGGGGCATTTTGTATGGGGGGTGGGCTAAATGTTACGCACCATAATGCCCCTCTGTCATACCAAAAAATCTGGGGCCAAATGCCTAGTAACCCTAGTTTTCTCCCATAATATCCGGTTAATAAGCCACGGAACTGCCAAGAATCGTAATCGTGGTTATGTAATCTTACTAAACCCGGCGTCTTGGCATGGTTATTCAACGGCCAGACAAATGTCACAGTATCATACCGCGGTTACCATTGACCGGCACCGCTCTAGAGCAGCTTCAAAAATTACCGGTATTATTCTTGAATCAAGTGCTATGATGACATGATGATGTATCGCTGAGGTTGCCTCTTCCGCCAGGACCTGATGCTTTTTTTGTTCCCTTATCTCTCTGTGGGGCTGAGAAGCTCCCCCTTTCTTTGTTTTTTTTTTCGCCGCTTTCCAGAATAGGGAATTTTCGACCTCGTCGTAGGCACTGAGGTGCAAGTGCTTTGTAGATTTTGGCATTCACAAAGGTACTCTGTTGCCAGTCTTTAGACTATTCCTACCAAGCGCTCGGTGCTGCGAGAGACTCATCCGTCGAGGTGTCGAGCGGGGCATTATTTTCGGCAGGAGATAGGACCAGAGAAGTATCCATCTAGAACCCACCCACCACTGCTAATCCCGAAAGTGTCTATAATCCGCGCGCCAGGCGTCTTAAGGCCACTCCCCTATGATACCCGCGGGTCTCCACGTGAGTGGGGGAAATATTGGGACAGCAACACCATTCCCCCCTTACTACGAGTAGATCATTCGTAGAGGATTTACTGGTACCCGGAATAAACACCAACCACATAGAAATATTTAAGGGCCTGTTTGGTAAAAGAGGAAGAAGTGGCAACCATTCCGTTGTGAGATGGTTTGACTGGTGGAAAAGGTTGTTGCTAATGGTCAACCTTTAAGATAGAAGAGTTGATAGCAATTGTGCCAAACGGCCTTTTAGCAACAACCTTTTTCAAAAAGGAAGGGAATAGTCATTTATATGGGTGAGCGGAACGGGACCATCGGAACCAAGCAGAGCCTAGAATTCAAGACATCGCATAGATACCTCCAATCGCCCTAGGGAATCACCCGTAAAAATTTTCACAAATTTCCCGCAAAACGGGTGCCCATCTATAACTCCCGGGAT